CCACCCAAAACAATAACAGCGACAACAACAAAATAACCCCCAAACCCCCCAAAACACAGACAGAAAAAGCTCAAAAAGGACAGTCGGGCACAAATAACATTTAAAAAACGCGACATCACGGATATCTCGTACAATTTGCCATCCCCTGACTGATATCTTATTTTATTTTTTTGCTATACCGGTTCACTCGAATTGCGAATGAGCTGAAGACATCTAATTGTCAATCTCCGACGTACATCTATTTCAGTTATCAAAACCCGGTGGATGGACCTTTCAATGGCGCCCTTTGACGAACCACTTGCACGGACAACCTTAAAACAAACATAATGACTACGACAAAGAATGTTTGAGTGTTTATTTTACCTGAAGAGAAACACATTGACAGTCACGTAGCTCAGGTGTTAAAAGTAATACTGTCAGTGACAGACCAGAACAAGAGAGGTAAAGAAAAGAAACAGGGCATATACCAAGAGTGCCCTCCATCCACCTGCAAGCAAATTAAACGACAAACGCAGCACTGGAAACAATAAAGGCAGCCGCAAGAATGATCGTTTGCTTTAGTAATCATTTTACGGCACTTACAACAAATCTAGGTCATATAAGCACCAAAGATTGGAAGCTTTACAATAGAGCAACAAATACAAAAAAAAGGAGAGAAAAGGAAGATAGACAATTGATAGGAAAGAGGATGAAGCAAACCATACCAGAGCACCCACCAACCACCCACACCACAAGCATTAAGTCAACCAAACTTTAAAAACACGCTATTCAGAGAGCGAACTGGATACACGTGAAAGAAGTAAATGAAATTATAATAGCCCCTTAACCATATAATGGTTTTGTTTCGACGCTAACAGCAATGGATTTTCAGAAATCCGACACCACCAGAAACAATGGGTGTTTTGTTCGGAGTCTTTGAATAACAGATAGGGCTATTCAAATAATAACATAGTCCTGGGCCAGGGAATAACGGTATACAAATGTACGGACTGCAGACACACACACGCACACGCACACACACACACACACACACAC